AACAACAACAACAACAACAACAACAACAACAACAACAACAACAACACACTTTTGTTAAGCTGCCGGGCCCAAAAGCGCGCTGAGATCCGCTGCCGCGTTTCCAGGCCTTGGCGTCAGGTCCTGGCATTGTTCCACACCTTCGAGGAGGAGACCTTCCAGCCGACCAGGCGCGCCCGCACCGGAGAATTCGTACCGGACGGCGGCGACCCGGCAGACAGGGCTAAGCCCCGTTCACAACGGTGGGAGCCGCTAGTGCCTGCTGTTCGTGGCAATGCCAAGTTGGCCACGAGAACTGGATAGTACTCTCCTCACAACTTACGAAGAAACAGTACCAAATACGAGTGGGAGGTATGCACATCATTTTCCCTGGTTAATAAAGCTGCTTCTTTGTTAGTTGGTATCGCCTAAAGTTCCTCGTTTGTCAGTATGGGCATGTATAGGCTACATGTTCAAGAGCATTTTACCAAACAACTATTCATACCGTACCTTGTTGAACACTTCCATGTCAAGTTGACATGAGGGCTTTGAGGGCTTCTTCGTTTGTTGGTTGGACTGGGGTAGGAATGGGCACGCTGTTTGGACACTGGGCGTGCCCTATCGTAACGCATAACAATATAATCGTTCTTGGACCTTTGCCGACTGACTGATTCAAGGCGTTTGTTTGTCTTAGCCAGGAAGTGTTGTGTTGCATGCTCGAATCCATCTAACCAGGAATTGCGTGTTCAACCCAACCGAGAAGTTTTACTTAGGCCAATCTCCTTGTTAGCCCCAACCTATGAACACGCATGGAGCCCTGGCTTATATACTATACCTGGTTTCTCCCCTCCCCTGGTCATTGCCTGCTGCGGAGTGAAGGTCAGCTTCCTCATTAAAGCTTTTCAATTGGTACTCTTCCTCATTAGCTGATATAGGGCTCACCCGCTGGGAAAACATCTCGGGAAGTGACATGGGAAAACTTCCGAACAGCGTCCAGGGCGAGAGAGTTTCTACATGTAAGCCTCTTTGGGAGTGTCAAAATGTGGCCCAACATGCCATTTGTTGGGCCGAAACGTTTTTTTCTGGGGAATAAATCAAGGTTCCCACTAGATTGGTAGGGGGTTGCCCAAGGTTGCCCGGTTGCCCAGCACCGAGTTATTGGCAAGTGGGCGGCTTCCACATGCTGCACGTGTACCGTATGCGATTTGGATCAGTGGTAGGTTGACAGTCAACTCAGATACTCGCCATCCTGTTCTTTTCCCAGACAATCATAGACAATCCATCGGAATGCCTATTTGTAGAGTGTGATGGAAGAGACAGGCAATTTGGGTGAAAAAAAGGGGGCTTCCATTTTCAACCCACTCAGGCTGGCATGGGGCGCGGTGCTGGGCGTGCTCGCACGCCAAGCCCTTTGGGCCAGGGCCCCGGTCAAGATTGTAGATGCAATCAGTGTTCTTGTTAATGAGGAGAGGCCCCAAAGCCGATTTGCAGTGGTCACGGTGAAGATCATGTAAGGTTCCGAGAGAGTGCGTGTGTGGGTCACAGATCCGTCTGTAAGTCCCGTGTTTCATCATCTAAGTCGACAAAACCACCAGGACAATGGTCCTCCCAAGAAGGGCCATGCCATCCACTTCCATGACCATATATAGGAAAAAGTATATATATATATATATTATATCCATGATCATTCATGGTCCTTCCATGCCATCCACTTCACTTGTTGATATAGTTATATATATATATATTAACCCAACAAAAATGTTCCCCAGGGAATGGTCAGCAAGTCCGCGGTGTTTTCTGCTTCTCGTCGCTCAGGCTGGGGCGCTTGGGGCCTTGAACACGCTGGTGCCGACCGTGGACGCGAGCCGACTGTGGACGGGAGTCGATGCCAACGGCTTAAGGCTTAGCCATTGGGTTGGTGTAGACTCCTTTTGAATAGACTTGGGATGTGGGTGAATAAGACATTAATAAGTCAAAGTAGACCCCAATCATTTGGGGTCAAATGATACAAACTTGTGACAAACAAGCATGCACGATAAAATGGAATAGACTCTTGATTGATTAACAGATGCATTTGGATTCTGAAACCTTTTCATATCTATGTGGAAGGCTGACATGTAATCAAAAGTCTACATCTATTCCGCTCGTGCAGGACTTTGTAGGAGGTGGAACATTCGAACATAATGTCGCGAATGGCAAGGCTGCCCCTATCCAGAAGTAGAAGTGCGAAACCAACATGAGGTTGATTTGTGACATTTTGTGACGCAGGTAATAGCTCAATTGCCCTGATGAAGCCCGGCCATAGCCGGCTGCAAAAACGGCCGGCTGCTAGGTGTCCGGCTTCCCGTCACCCAAGGCAGATGAGGCGGGGCCAGGAGGTACTTCAAGGACTTCAATTTGTAGGGAAGGTGTTTTCAACCTGTTGGTCTTTTGGTCGCGAAATGGGTCAACCAACCTGGGTACTGGACATCATCCACCAACGTGACCTTGTTGAATGGGCCAACCTACCGTGGATCCGCTCCGGCCGCAGCAGGTAGGACCCCCTTTGCAGGTCGGACACCCCAAAACCGCGGGGGTTGCAGAGGAAAAATGGTGTTCCACCGGTCATTTCTCGGGTTTCAATGATAGTTTGCGGAGAGTATAAGGAATTACCGGGTCCATCTGGAAACCTCAGGTCTCTGGGCGCTTGCTTTTTTGGAACTGTGTTCGCTGGATCCTTCAACCGCATTGGAGGCCCCCGACACACGCAGGTTTCTGTAGATGCGAAGTCATGACCTCGACACAAAGGATCCACCTGAAAGCTGGAAATCGACGCCATGCCTCTGGACATGGCGAGTAAGTGAGAGTTCTGGGCTGGAAGTTGGACGCAGTAGTTTGATATAGTTTTATTACAACACGAGCTTTTCAACACCTTGGAATCTGGGGCTGGCTCAATCTTTTGCCTACAGCCGTAGGTGCACTATGACTTGCTGGTGTCGGCCTGCGACGGCCAGGCGGGCCATGGGCGGTCGGGAGCGGTTTCGGCTCCTCAGCGGACAGGACAGGCCAGGCCAGACACGTGAGTCGCTGCCAGGCCCCTGGCTCCACCACGTCCGGGAAGCTTAGACTTCCCAAGATGTACCCGACCCCCTTCGGTGGATGGGCTCCGAAAGGGCGGAGCAAGAGAGGATTTCTGGTTGATGGGTTCAATCACATGCTATATGCCTATATGCTATTTAGATCTATTTAGTGTTCCACGTTTTGCCATCTTTAAGATTGGGATGATCGAACCCTGGCACTGACTCATATTCTTCGTGTGACGTTGAATCCACCAACCAGATGTCATCTGATGAGCTTCAGGGAGCCGTTGGGAACTTCAGGGAGCTCCCCCAAAGCCGTTACGCAAGAGTTGGAAGGGTTTTCTCGAGGGGAACCCAATTGAAGTGCATACACATCACCAAGCCATGTACGTGGTTTTTGGTGGTGGTGTTTTTGGGGTTTGAAGTTCAGCTCTCTTCTATACACGGCCACCCGACAATATATATAGTATGAGGACATGACTTGGCATTTATGCCGCTTATACCGCTTGGGATGCGTGCCAGGTCGGCTTCGTTCTCAGAGCCAGTCTGACTGGGTCGGTGCATTCTCGCTTCACTGAGGCGGCGGCTTCTCTCAAACGTGCGTGGGGGTAGCTCAGTGATCGATATCAACCTTGACCATTCGATGGACGCGCACAGACCCGGCTGAAAAAGACATGACCACGGCAGGGCCCCTGAATTCGGACAATTTTATCGCACCAAAGAGGGTGGTGCTGATCCAATGAACAAGGCTGATGTGTTCTGAGTCTACGGCATTTCAGGCAAACAAAACTGAAGCTGCTGGACCTCAAGGACTCGCGATGTCCCGTCCCTTTTGTTTGGTTTTCGTAGCCAGAATGGCGTCGTTGCTGATCACGAGCAGGTTCATAATATACAGGAAAGGATATATAATATGTATATATTATAAATCCAACACTCTACTGCATAGGATTACTGCAATATTTTGTCAAACAATGATGACAAGGCTCGCGTTCAAGGAGAGAACGCGTAGTAGGAGGTATGACCCCTATCAGTGTAGACTAGTGACTACCTCCTGATCAAGGTCACTGATCGGTTCATTCGTGACGGACCTCAATGGGTTCAAATCGGCGCGGGTAATTTGTTGCACCGAAAAATTATGGCCATCAGCCATCAGCCCTCAGAAACTCACTCTCCCAGTCCCTCATGCCTCATACAAATCCAAAGGTATTCAACCTTTTGATGCTCCTGACACGCCTCCAAAAGGCGACCACGAAACCTTTTCGACTCAGGCCATGAGCTTCTCATGCAGCACACGCCCGACCGGGTCACGTCCGTGACCCGTCCTACCACGGTCGGCACCGTTGATTCGCTGCGTGGAAAAAGGGCGCCCGTGTTTCTTGAAGATCTTGAAGAGTTCGATCCATTGCTGCACACCAACGCAAGAAGACGGGTTGAGATCATGGCAGAAGAGAAAAGGATAGAACAAGTGAACGTTGTCCACCAGTGGCCACTCAAGATCACCCAAGCCTTTTTTATAATCCAGAACTACGGCTTTGATGAATATTGTAGTTCACGAAAGGTAGCCCCTAAGGGGATACCTAGAGTTTGTCTTGCGAAGCAAGTGTCGGCGCGTCCGGGTCTAATAATTGATAGTTCAATTCAACCCCCCCCTTCGAATTGATTTCTCAATACAGCCCCCCCCCCCCGCCCCCCAGGGAATTAATTTTTCAATACCGATCCCCCTCCCCGCCCCCTCTAAATTCAATTCTCTCCTGCAGAACGTCTTCGTGAGCCTCTCATGATTTCAGGATAGTTGAAACCCTCTTGAACATTCAGAGTGCATATTGTTTTCTTCCTGCCTCTCGCGTTCTCTCGTTCTCTTCTCTTCTCGCTGTCCTACCTTTTATGTCTCCCTCCTCTCAAGTGTATAGTATTCTCCCGCTGCTGAATGTACTGCAAGCACTCGGAGTGCCAGCATGGAGTACGGCATGCCAGCGGCCATTCCGCCCTTCTTCCGCACCTGGCACATGCTTGGACGTTCAGTAACTTGAATGGCTCAAGTCGGGGCCATTCATGGTTGGCTTCCAAATGCCATGTTCATGATACCTGCTTGGAACCCCAGACCTTCCTGCGCGGTCAGACTAGGAAAGCGGGATGCGCAGTTGACTGGGTGTCACCTGGAGCGGGATCCTGGTGGGTTGACCACGTCGGCATACGGGTAATACGGTAATTCGCTCATACTCTCCGTGGTCCGTGGCGGGCGGTTGCGGGGTTTGGGCATGTTTGGACCCACCTTGAGGACCCCAAGCGGTTGCTTCCCGAAGCTTCAAGAAGCAGCATGCTCGAGCTGCCGGGCATGTTTGGGACTACTCGGGGGGGGGGGACCGCGAGACTGTGAGGGTGAAAACCACGGGATGCTCGACTCAGGTGCTGCTTTTACTCGCAGAGGCGGCTGCACCTGGTCCGTTGGGGGCCTGATTGGTTGCTAGGTTTCTCAAACCAACTCCCCCAGCAAGTGGTGTTGGAGATGATTCTTTTCAGGAAGAAGCACAGGGAGAATTGGTGCCAAGAATGTTCTTCAGTATGATTCACTATGTGTTTTTTAAAACCCTCCCTCCAAAGATCATGGAAGCAGACAATGGCCCTTGGCAGACGGTTTTCCTCTACAAACAGGGGGTTATTCACTTCCACGTTTAACATGATGGAGGGCAAATGTATTCTCAACATGTTCCACCTGATATTTTGTTTCCGTTGATTCCATGTAACCTGGGAGTCAGAATTCATCGTCAGACTTCGCAGTTGTCTTCCACGATGGGATGGGGATGTACAGAGGATTGGTATGGTCGGATGATGTCAGATGTATACAAGAAGCTACCAGGGGCTCCTGGCATCGCTACTAGGAGCAAGGACGCTACTTAGGGGCTCCTGGCCTTATTACTAGGAGCAAGAAGCTACTTGGATCTTTTTCGTGCGCGCGCGCGCATTGGGTATGCCCTGGTCCCCTCTCTTGGACGCCCCGGGTTAAGACCACCGCAAGCCGGGTGGTTTGAGCTGTGAAAAACCAGTTGCCCGTTGAGCTGTTGATGGGGGGGGCATTGTTTTGGACCAGTTCTGATGCTTCGAGGATTGGGTGATGAATGCGTTTGAAATCATTTGAATGCACAAAACACCTGCCATTCACGGGGAGTTGTTTCTTGGTTTCTGTATGTGTTCATTTCAGAAATGCTGCACGTCAGCTTTAAGAGCATTAACTCGTGCCCACGTGCATAGTGGCATAGTAAGTATAGCTTCATTATTGACACATTGAACAGTACAGTTAGTGTTTTTCTAGTTGTGCCCATGCAGCAGAACAGCTTGTCTGTTCAACTCAGTTTGTCGGTATTGGAAGATGGCTCATGTCCGCTTGGGAGTCTCCTTGGTGGCAAATTTCCAAATTTCCTGAGATACCAGGTGCATACCAGGGATGGGCGGCCTGCAATGTTACAAAGACAAGATCCTCTCGCCATGATGGGTATATATAAACACAATCCTGTCCGACAAGAGGTGCTCATCATTGGCCGGCAAAACTAAGGATGCATAGCAAGAAGACCTGGACCGTTTGATGAGCAGCACCCAGAATACATGGTTTAGTTGGGATTTGCACCTACCAGTATGACACTTGGCGTAGTGCTGGACAGCCAAGTAATTGCACCCTCTTTAAGAGAATGGTTTGCCAAGATCTGCCCAGGTTTGGGCTTTGGCTCACACAATGATCAAGGGTCGACACTTTGCACTGATGGAAGTGGAACATCATTAGACCGGAAGATCATAGACGTCGTCTACTTTTGGGATTTGCTCAACTTCCATAATATGCTTGAGAGATGTTGAGAGGGCGATGTTTTATCCGCTCCGCAGGCGGTCGCGGTGGAGCAGAGTCGACATGCTTTGGTGAGGCGCGATCCCGTGCGCAGCCATACGGTGGCGCTGAGAAGTGACGATGATGCAGCGAAGTGACGATGCTCTTCTGGAGAAACGGACGTGGTATTCTCTTGAACGTGGTATTTCTGTTGACCTGGATTTCAACCCGAATGCAAGAGTCTCAACACAACGTAGGTCATGAATGGGACCCTGACTGACCCCTGCAAATGAACAGATCGTTCATGTGGACGACGCTCAATAGGAGAAGTAAGCAGAAACCATAGCTTCTTGAAACACTATAGATTTACATGGTTTCAGAAACTAAATTGTCAGATGGCCAGATTTTATGGGCTAGGGGCTAGGAGTGCTTTGTGTTTATTTTCAAATTTATTTTGCAATTGTAAATTGTGTGGTAGGCAGGAGGTTATTGGAAGATGATGACATCAACATGCCATTATACAATTAGTTTCCCCGCTCAGGCGCCATGAAGTTGACTCCTTGATGCCTCTCAGCCTGATGGCGACAACCTGCAGGGCACCGGGGGGGGACCGACCGGTCCACCGAATTTTCCAGAGAATCGACTTGGGAGGTCAACCTGGAATCGGGAGGCCAACCCAGGGCCATAGACCTACTAGAATCATCAATGCCATTTTGGATAGTTATTCCACGTCTCAGACAGTCCCATTACCCTGTATCACCATCTCATCACAATAGATAGTGGCACGGTTTCCAGTACATTTTGAGTACTTTTCTATCTACAGCATTTGGAAGTCTATATCACCCTTTAATATAATTTTCTGGTCTTGCCTCTTTAATCCACAGCGCCGCCGGCCAATGTGCACATCACGCTGAATGGGAAACACTCCAACAAGCCGTGGTGAATATGCTCACGACTTCATGTACACAAACGAATGTTCAGGTGCTCAACGATTTCGCGTGTAACACTTACCTACCCAGTCAGTGGATAACCTTTAACAATTTTTTCTGGGATTGGTTTTCCCACTAAATATGAACAGATTGGACATAGGTTACCGTAACCATTTTTTCAAGGGAAACTGAGGGAGTCAACTTAGGTTTCCAGGTCGTCTCTCACCCCGCTCGCATGGAGACGGACGACCCTGGATCACACGAGAGCACAGTGCTCTCGGCCAAGGCAAGAAGAAGTGCTCTCGCCGCCTGAGGCGGAGCCCACCCAGGCCCGAAGCGACGAGTGACGCGTCCCAAATGACCATCCCTGGCATCTCAGGCTCAAAGCCTTGAGACAGCGCGACGAGTTTCATGTCCGGTAGTGGCACAGCCCATGGTAGTTTCTTGTGCAGGAACTCTTGATTTCGAAACCTGCCTCCTTCTTTGGCAAACGGACCCTGGTCTTTCCAACTTGCATGTCCCTTCCCGACCTGTATGTGATTTTAAGGGTCATCCTCAAACAGGCACGTAAATTATATACATGTGTACGATATGATGCCGTGACGGGTGGTATTGACCAAACAAGCAGCTTGAACATTGATGAACTTAAACCGGGGCACAGTGATGTGGACAAATAGTTACCCATTAGACAATTTGCAAGACACCTGTCAACAGCCATTCCAAAAGCTGTTCCGTCGGCCACAAGCTACATTTTGAAACGTGGAACCTTCCAAGATTCCTTCCCAACGGCATTGTTTTCAAGTTTTCAACATTTACTAACCTCTTCCCACAACGTTGGCCACAACATGGGCATTTCCGACAACCTTTCCACAACATCAACCATTCCATAGTTCAGAACCAATACAGTTTGCGTCAACACAGGTAGAGAGGAACTCAGGAATGATTTGACGTAGTAAACAGAATATGGCTCTTGAAGGGCTAGAACCCGCCTTCAAACCCGGAGTGGTTTAGAGAATTGAACGGGGTTGTTAATAGCAATGTTAGCAATGCTGTCAACACATGTTGTTTTGAAGTTGAAGGTTTGGACATCGGTTTAGCAGGGGGATACATTCAGGGAGCGAAAGGATACACCTTCACCGACTTTCGGCTTGGAGTCACATGTGTTGACGGTGGGACCGGTGGGAGCGCTCCCGGAACGCTGAAACTCGCGCCCATGGATTTGATTGACACGAGATGAGGGGAAAGACTCCGTTGGGGGGGGGAAACATGGGCAACATACTGTTGACAACAGTATGGCAACAGATCCAAGTCTAGACCCACCGACAGACCTGACTTTATATATAGATCCTCTTTCCCCGAGCTTCGAGCTCCCGGGGTTTCCGGTCACGTCCGGTCGCACGGGGTGAAAACCCGTCCAGTGCACACGCGCCGCGGGACGGAGCCAGTTCAAGGCAGCCAAAGCCAGCAAAGCCTGGGTCACCGGGCCCCAAGTGTCCGGAGTGTCTCCAGGGAGAGAACAACTCCCCAGCGAACCTCGCTGCTGTGTTCTCCTCTTCTCCGCCCGCGAGGAGAAGAGGAGACCATGTGAACATATGGCTACGGCCAGAAACATAAGGCTTGGATCACACACCCAAACCCACAC